ATATATATATATATATATATATATATATATATATATATATATATATATGTGTGTGTGTGTGTGTGTGTGTGTGTGTATATATATGTGTGGGTATATATATATATATGTATATGTATATATATATATATAGACTCTCTTTTGGGGGATATGACGATGTGCATGGTGGCTTTATATAAAAACGGAGGAGGTACTTCGCTGCTGGAGTACGCTAAAGCTATTGAGCTGGTGATCGCTAACTCGTGTTACCCGAAGAAGGCGGAGCACCTGATAACTTTTTGAAGTGCAGTGGCCAAGACCCAGATTGATTATCTACTTCTCCGGAAATGTGATAGAGGTTTATGCACGGATTGCAAGGTCATCCCGAGTGATAAACTTACGACCCTGCATATGCTTTTGATTATGGACTTAGAGATCAGGTGGACGAGGAAGAGGAGGGCTATGTCTGGTATACCTAGGGTCAGGTGGGGTGCATTGACTAAGGACAAGGCCCAAGAGTTAGGGGAGAAGTTGTTGGCTATGGGGGCCTGGAGGAGTAGCGGGAATGCGAGTTGTATGTGGTCTATGAAAGCAAATTGGATTAGAGAGGCGGCGAGAGAGGTGTTAGGGGTCTCAAAGGGTTTTTCTGGTGGCCGTAAAAGGGACTGGTGGTGGAACGAAGAGGATCAGAGGAAAGTGGAAGCTAAGAAAGCGGCATATTTGAAGCTTGTAGAAAGTATAGACGAGGGGCAGAAGAGTGCTAACAGGGAGGGGTATAAGAAGTCTAGGAAGGAGGTGAAGTTTGCGGTTACTGCGGCTAAGACCGTCGTGTTTAGTCATCTATACGAAGAAATTGGGGATAAAGGTGGGGACAAGAAGTTGTACAGGCTAGCGAAGGTGAGGAGCAGAAGGCCCGGGATCTGGACCAAGTGAGATGCATAAAAGATGAGGGGGGAAGAGTTCTATTGGAGGGGGCACACATTAGGCAGAGATGGCAGTCTTACTTCCATGGCTCTTGAATGAAGAGGGAGATAGGGGCATTGTGCTGGGGGAGTTGTAGTACTCGGAGCGGCAGCAAGATTTTGGGTACTCTAGATGTATACGAGTGGGGGAGGTTGTAGGGGCTATGCGCAGGATGAGTAGGGGTAGAGCGAAGGGGCCGGATGAGATCTCGGTGGAATTCTGGAAGAGCGTGGGTAAGGAGGGATTGGAATGGCTTGCTAGGTTATTTGACGTCATTTTTTGGACGAAGAAGATGCCCGAAGAGTGGAGGCGGAGTACGATGATCCCGTTGTACAAGAACAAGGGGGTGTCTAAAACCGCAACAACTATAGGGGTATCAAGTTGTTAAGCCATACGATGGAAGTGTGAGAGAGGGTGATTGAAGGGAGGTTGAGGAGGTGTGTGTCCATTTTCGAGAACCAGTTTGGTTTCATGCCGGGACGGTCGACCACTGAGGCCATTCATATTGTGAGGAGATTGATGGAGCAGTTTAGGGCGGTGAAGAAGGATTGCACACAGTGTTCTTTGACCTGGAGAAGGCCTATGACAAAGTCTCTAGAGAGGTTTTATGGAGATGTTTGGAGGCTAGAGGAGTGCTTGTAGCGTATATTAGAGTGATTCAGGACATGTATGATGGAGCTAAGACACGGGTTAGGACAGCAGGAGGAGACTCGGATTACTTTCCGGTTGAGATGGGGTTGCATCAGGGATCAACACTTAGCCCGTTTTTGTTTTCCCTAGCGATGGATTCTTTGACACATCACATTCAAGGGGAGGTGCCTTGGTGCTTGTTATTTGCGCATGGTGGCTTCGGTTTTGGAGATAGAAACGGAACTTCGCTGCTGGATTACGCTAAAGCTTTTGAGCTGGTGATCGCTAACTCGTGTTACCTGAAAAAGGTGGAGCACCTGATAACTTTTCGAAGTGCGGTGGCCAAGACCCAGATTGATTATCTACTTCTCCGGAAATGTGATAGAGGTTTATGCACGGATTGCAAGGTCATCCCGAGTGAGAATCTTATGACCCAACATATGGTTTTGATTATGGACTTAGAGATCAGGTGGACGAGGAAGAGGAGGGCTATGTCTGGTATACCTAGGGTCAGGTGGGGTGCATTTACTAAGGACAAGGCCCAGGAGTTGGGGGAGAAGTTGCTGGCTATGAGGGCCTGGAGGAGTAGCAGGGATGCGAGTTGTATGTTGTCTATGACAGCAAATTGCATTAGAGAGGCGGCGAGAGAGGTGTTAGGGGTCTCAAAGGGTTTTTCTAGTGGCCATAAAAGGGACTGGTGGTGGAACGAAGAGGTTCAGAGGAAAGTGGAAGCCAAGAAAGCGGCATATTTGAAGCTTGTAGAGAGTATAGACGAGTGGCATAAGAGTGCTAATAGGGAGGGGTATAAGAAGGCTAGGAAGGAGGCGAATTTGGTGGTTATCAAGTTGCTAAGCCATACGATGAAAGTGTGGGAGAGGGTGATTGAAGGGAGGTTGAGGAGGTATGTGTCCATTTCCGAGAACCAGTTTGGTTTCATGCCGGGACGGTCGACCACTGAGGCCATTCATATTGTGAGGAGATTGGTGGAGTAGTTTAGGGCGGTGAAGAAGGATTTGCACATGGTGTTCATTGACATGGAGAAGGCCTATGACAAAGTCCCTAGAGAGGTTCTATGGAGATGTTTGGAGGCTAGAAGAGTGCCTGTAGCGTATATTAGAGTGATTCAGGACATGTATGATGGAGCTAAGACAAGGGTTAGGACAGCAGGAGGAGAATCGGATTACTTTCCGGTTGAGATGGGGTTGCATCAGGGATCAGCACTTAGCCCGTTTTTGTTTTCCCTAGCGATGGATTCTTTGACACGTCACATTCAAGGGGAGGTGCCTTGGTGCTTGTTATTTGCGCATGGTGGCTTTGGTTTTTGAGATAGAAACAGAACTTCGCTCCTGGAGTACGCTAAAGCCTTTGAGCTGGTGATCGCTAACTCGTGTTACCCGAAAAAGGCGGAACACCTGATAACTTTTCGAAGTGCGGTGGCCAAGACCCAGATTGATTATCTACTTCTCCGGAAATGTGATAGAGGTTTATGCACGGATTGCAAGGTCATCCCGAGTGAGAATCTTATGACCCAGCATATGGTTTTGATTATGGACTTAGAGATCAGGTGGACGAGGAAGAGGAGGGCTATGTCTGGTATACCTAGGGTCAGGTGGGGTGCATTTACTAAGGACGAGGCCCAGGAGTTGGAGAGAAGTTGCTGGCTATGGGGGCCTGGATGCACGGATTGCAAGGTCATCCCGAGTGAGAATCTTATGACCCAGCATATGCTTTTGATTATGGACTTAGAGATCAGGTGGACGAGGAACAGGAGGGCTATGTCTGGTATACCTAGGGTCAGGTGGGGTGCATTGACTAAGGACAAGGCCCAGGAGTTGGGGGAGAAGTTGCTGGCTATGGGGGCCTGGAGGAGTAGTGGGGATGCGAGTTGTATGTGGTCTATGACAGCAAATTGCATTAGAGAGGCGGCAAGAGAGGTGTTAGGGGTCTCAAAGGGTTTTCTGGTGGCCATAAAAGGGACTGGTGGTGGAACGAAGAGAGGCAGAAGAGTGCTAACAGGGAGGGGTATAAGAAGGCTAGGAAGGAGGCGAATTTGGTGGTTATTGCAGCTAAGACCGCCGTATTTAGTCGTCTATACGAAGAAATTAGGGATAAAGGCGGGGACAAGAAGTTGTACAGGCTAGCGAAGGTGAGGGAGCGGAAGGCCGGGGATCTGGACCAAGTGAGATGCATAAAAGATGAGGAGGGAAGAGTTTTATTGGAGGGGGCACAGATTAGGCAGAGATGGCAATCTTACTTCCATAGGCTCTTGAATGAAGAGGGAGGTAGGGGAATTGTGCTGGGGGAGTTGGAGTACTCAGAGCGGCAGCGAGATTTTGGGTACTCTAGATGTATACGAGTGGTGGAGGTTGTAGGGGCTATGTGCAGGATGAGTAGGGGTAGAGCGACGGGGCCGGACGAGATCTCGGTGGAATTCTGGAAGAGCGTGGGTAAGGAGGGCTTGGAATGGCTTGCTAGGTTATTTGACGTCATTTTGGGACGAAGAAGATGCCCGAAGAGTGGAGGCGGAGTACGATGATCCCGTTGTACAAGAACAAGGGGGTGTCTAAAACTGCAACAACTATAGGGGTATCAAGTTGTTAAGCCATACAATGAAAGTGTGGGAGAGGGTGATTGAAGGGAGATTGAGGAGGTGTGTGTCCATTTTCGAGAACCAGTTTGGTTTCATGTCGGGACGGTCGACCACTGAGGCCATTCATATTGTGAGATTGGTGGAGCAGTTTAGGGCGGTGAAAAAGGATTTACACATGGTGTTCATTGACCCGGAGAAGGCCTATGACAAAGTCTCCAGAGAGGTTCTATGGAGATGTTTGGAGGCTAGAGGAGTGCTCGTAGCGTATTTAGAGTGATTCAGGAGATGTATGATGGAGCTAAGACATGGGTTAGGACAGCAGGAGGAGACTCGGATTACTTTCTGGTTGAGATGGGGTTGCATCAGGGATCAACAGTTAGCCCGTTTTTGTTTTCCCTGGCGATGGATTCTTTAACATGTCACATTCAAGGGGAGGTGCCTTGGTGCTTGTTATTTGCGGATGACATAGTCCTGATTGATGAGACGCGAGGTGGCATTTACGAGAGGCTGGAGGTCTGGAGACATACCCTGGAGTCTAAGGGTTTCAAGTTGAGCAGGACCAAGACAGAATACTTGGAGTGCAAGTTCAGCGGTGTTACCCAGGAGGTGGACGGGGATGTGAAACTCGAGACGCAAGTCATTTCCAAGAGAGAGAGTTTCAAGTATCTAGGATCTATAATTTAGAAGGATAGGGAGATAGATGGGGATGTCACACACCGTATCGGAGCAAGGTGGATGAAGTGGAGGCTCGCTTTCGGTGTCTTGTGTGATAAGAATGTGCCATTAGGACTTAAGGGTAAGTTCTACTAGGTAGTGGTTAGACCGACAATGTTGTATGGGGAAGAGTGTTGGCCAGTCAAAAACTCCCATATCCAGCAGATGAAGGTAGTGGAAATGAGGATGTTGAGTTGGATGTGTAGGCATACTAGGTTGGATACAATTAGGAATGAAGTTATTCGAGATAAGGTGGGAGTGGCCCCTGTGAAGGCGAAGATGCGTGAGGCAAAGTTGAGATGGTTCGGGCATGTTAAGAGGAGAAGCGCAGATGCCCCTGTCAGGAGATGTGAGAGGTTGGCCTTAGGAGGTGAGAGGAGGGGTAGAGGTAGGCCAAAGAAGTCTTGGGGAGAGGTGATCAGGCGGGACATGGCGCAACTTGAGCTAACCGAGGACATGACTCTAGATAGAAGGGTGTGGAGGTTGAAGATTAGGGTAGAAGGTTAGTAGGTAGTCGTTCCTCTCCCTTTGTCTTCTCTAGATCGATAATATTAGCGCTAGTACAGTACCCTTTTTTCCTTAGTTTGCTATATTCGCATGTCTCGTTTCGTTATTACTTGCCATTGGTATTTCCGCAGTTTGCTAGCAGTACTTCGTTCATATTCTCGTCTGCTGCCTCGGAGTTAGTTTTCTAAATATGTTATCTTGCTACTACTTGTTATCAGTACCCCTTTCATATTATCTGTTTCTATCTTTGATTTAGTTTTCTAATTATTGTCTTTCTATTACTTGGTACCAAGGCTTCTCTAACCTTCATTAGCCGAGGGTCTATCGGAAACAGTCTTTCTGCCCTTCCAGGGTAGGGGTAAGGCTGCGTACATCCTACCCTCCCCAGACCACACTTGTGGGACCACACTAGGTTGTTGTTGTTGTTGTTATATAGACTCTGTGCTCTCTTGGCTGAAAGAAGACAAAACGAAACTGAATATGAAGCCCCGATAAGGGAGAATGCTGTAACTTATGAGACTAGGAAAATGTACATAAATTCAAGAATATGAACTTCTCTTTATGTCTCGTTTTCAAACACATGTAGTTACTGGATCATGCCAAAATAAAGGAAAGGTTTAGCCTTAACATACCTTAAGTCTATTGAGTCCGTAATATCTTCCAAGAAATTCTTCAATCAACTCAACTCAATCTACCACAACATAAGGAGATTCAAAATCAGTGTTGAGTAAAGGCTAAGTTCTCAACTTAAACAAATTGCTCGTTTACGTGAATTTGGGCAGCATCTCCCCTGTAACAAGGCCCTCCTCCAATACCATATACCAACAACACCAAGAACACAACAATAACAACATGTATGTATCATTTTCCAATGTTATCTCCATCACAATATATCACAAAACAGCCCACACACCCTAATCACTTCATACATAAAAAGACAACAAAAGTACCGTCAAACAACCTAAAAAATGTAACGACCAATGACCATCCCAGCATTCCATAATTATGTGGTGTTTCTACACACCTTATATCCTCCAAAACTCCATAAAACATCAGAAAAATAGACAGCCCAAAAGCAACACGAAAGAGCCCACAAAACACTCCACTACAAGTCGAATAACTCGAACTCACGGCTTCCGATCACCGTCCCTTGAGTTCTAACTATTAGGAAATAAATTTATCAACNATATATATATATATATATATATATATATATATATATATATATATATATATATATAAACTGTGCAGGTTGATTAGGCCGCTATGAATATCAACTGATATACAAAATATATAGGACTCGTCTACTAGCCTCTAGAGATAACTGAACTGTACCATGATCGGGACAGGGCCTCGACTTATCCATCAAATCTGTGTATATAAAATGGACTCCAAGGTCTAGACCTGGTAACTCCGAGGAAGTGGAGCTTACCAACCAAGCTGATGTTTGGCTCTGTCTGCTGGGAGGGTCTGTCCAACTGTCAATGAGGACCTGCAGGCATGAAATGCAGCGTCCCCGACAAAGGGGACGTTAGTACGAAATAATGTACCAAGTATGCAATGCAACAGAATAACTGAAAGTTGAAACTGAACTGATAATATAATAATTAAAAGTAATGGGGAGTCAAATATAATATGAAGATATGCTTACCAGTTGATACTGACTCAACTCTCTCAATATAGTAAGTAAAATAGTTGTCCAGCCTTATAAGGCTCAGTATGTGTAACTGCTCTGCCGTAGTAGGCTCGCTCATAGGCGCTCGGCCATACTAGGCTCTGTATCTCGGCCATTCTGGGCTTGTTCATAGGCGCTCGGCCATAGTAGGCTCGGTATATAACTCACCATCTAATCAGAGGTTTCCCAATAGGGGCCTGTCCATAGACTCTCTACTCTCTTGGCTGAAAGAAGACAAAACTAAACTGAATATGAAGTCCCGATAAGGGAGAATGCTGTAACTTATGAGACTAGGAAAATGTACATAAATTCAGGAATATGAACTTCTCTTTATGGCTCGTTATCAAACACATGTAGTTACTAGATCATGCCAAAATGAAGGAAATGTTTAGCCTTAACATACCTTAAGTCTATTGAGTCCGTAATATCTTCCAAGAAATTCTTCAATCAACTCAACTCAATCTACCACAACATAAGGAGATTCAAAATCAGTGTTGAGTAAAGGCTAAGTTCTCAACTTAAACAAATTGCTCGTTTACGTGAATTTGGGCAGCATCTCCCCTGTAACAAGGCCCTCCTCCAATACCATATACCAACAACACCAAGAACACAACAATAACAACATGTATGTATCATTTTCCAATGTTATCTCCATCACAATATATCACAAAACAGCCCACACACCCTAATCACTTCATACATAAAAAGACAACAAAAGTACCGTCAAACAACCTAAAAAATGTAACGACCAATGACCATCCCAGCATTCCATAATTATGTGGTGTTTCTACACACCTTATATCCTCCAAAACTCCATAAAACATCAGAAAAATAGACAGCCCAAAAGCAACACGAAAGAGCCCACAAAACACTCCACTACAAGTCGAATAACTCGAACTCACGGCTTCCGATCACCGTCCCTTGAGTTCTAACTATTAGGAAATAAATTTATCAACCTTTCTTGATTTTTAAAGTTTAAATACAGAAAGTATACGTTTTCTTAACTATGAAGTATCTTCCAAAACTCAAAGTACAAAGAAAAAGAGAGGTGATATAGCGATACTTACGTCATGGGGATCGTTCTAGTGTTATCGCTTCTTGATTTCGTACTCGGGATATTAATTTCTTGGAGACCCTTGTGGATGGATTGAGGATAAGTTTAGGGGTCTTATTATGGTCGTGGTATGAGGAAAAGTGAAGAAAGAGACGACATAAGGCCTATATATATCCATTTTTGAAAAGTCCGAGAGGTGCTAGCTTGGCACCCTATAATTGGCTCTTCTTCAGGCGTTTATATCTTTTTATCCGGATGTCGCATGAACGAACGGTTAAGAGCGTTAGAAACTACATTCCAAGACTTTACATTTAGTATATAATATGTCCCAAAGACCTCGTATAGAACATGAAATGTATTGCTCAAAAAGCTTTAGTGACACACCTACTTGTCACCTATGCAGTCTGCGCAGTCTCACGAAATCGCAAATATCTCTCTACTCCTATGTTGTATCGATGAACGGTTTAATGTGTTAGAGAATAGACTCGTAGATATTCAATTTGGTAGGTGTATCATCCCTAAATTCCATGTATATTGGTAGAAAAGCTCATCTACATTTGACCTAATGTTTAGCATATTTATGAATGTAACTTGTGATGATCTTTGCCAACTTTTGTTCCACAACTCGCTTGACTTAAAAACATAACGCACGACTATCATAAGACAAAAATAACTCATAACATAACCTACTTATCATTTTGAGAACCCTAGTATCACCCTAAAAGTACATGTTATAACATTCCCAACTTGTCCACTTTCGACGAAACTTATTTTCTTCAATTGGTTTAGCTTCTAAGCCTTCCAACCCTCTTGGTACTTGTAGTCCATGATCTTAAATATTTATAACCTCCAAGTTAACATGATTAACTTACTTTAAGTACTTTCAAAGATGATCTCATTTCATAGCTTACATCAATTGACTTACGACGTACTCTCACATACGAAACTATGGGGTATAACATCATTCCTCTCTTTGGATCATTCGTCCTCGAATGT